ATATATATATATATATATATATATATATATATATATATATATATATATATATATATATATACATATATATATATATATATGCGGGTGGCGTTTTAATAATAAACTATCGGGTGGCGTTTTAATATAAACTACATTTGCAATATATTTCGCTAATTTGTGATTATTTTTGTTAATTTTATAAGTTTATTGCAGTTTTAATTTAAATTCAGCCGCTTAGTGGGCTGCGTATGCTATAATTAGATTGTTGTTGTCGTTGTGTGAATTTTAGATTTCTCCTGCGACATTTTGATTGGATACTAAATATAGACTTTGCTGTGGGTAGAAAGCGATCAGGTTAAGTTTTGTGTCAGGCTCTATTTGTAAAATAGAGCCTGATACTCAGGTTAGCCGACGAGGTGCGTATCACCGAGTCGGATATCAGCCATATACGACGAGAGTGAATGGTATAATTGTTTTATAATATAGTCTAATAGCCATTAACTGAAGCAATAATTAATTAGCCTCTGTTACAATGTCTTGACAATTTGTTCGGCCAAAAACCGCTTGGCCCTGATAATTTGAAATACTTTTGTTTTACAACTCGAAGATGAAGTGAAAGAAATGGTGTTAGAACCGGTATATTTTACAGAAAAGCTCAGATATATTATATAGATGTTTGGTAGTATAGTAAGTAATTGTTGACTGAAAATTCAATTGTCTTTCGTTGCAAACTTTTCTGAACAATTCATATTCTCAATGAACATAAATTTTTCGCGGTTGTTTCGGTATCAATTCTTTAAAAAAATTGTCTTTAAGGTGGCTCGATATAGTTATCACAAAAACCCTGCTCAAGAATCGCGAACTCAAAACCGGGTGACCATTTTTACGCGCAGGTCGCGGAAACTGATTATCAAAATGAAAGAACTTCCAAAATGACCTGACGTGAGCGGTTGCTCGCGCCATATCACGCCATTCCGCGTGTTCTATAGCGTTTTATGTCAATTGCTGACGTCATTAAAATTTTCCATTTTAGAAAAACAATGCTTTATATCTCTTTATTTTGTCTGGTGACCTATGTTCAAATTTTGAATGCTGTATTGCACCGCTAAAAACTTTCATTGTACAAAATATTAAAAAATTTTGTAATGCCAAAAAAATTTTATCGAAGAATATGACATTTTCACATTTCCAAAAAAATGGCATTACAGAATTTTTTATATTTTGCTAATTGTTAGCTTTTCGTCCAAGTAAAATAATGCACGAAAAAAAATTGGGGGTCACCATGCTTTCTTACCATCTATACGAGACGATATGCCATTTTGGAGTGAATTTCGTACACGTATGTCGTCATAGCAACGAACTATCTGTTACTAAAACTATTATAATTTGAAAGTAGAGTTATCAATATATATAAAAGACCCAATATCTGCTGAAGAAATCCTAAAAATGCGTACTTTGAACATGTCAAACTGTTGAACACCTGAATTTTCGAAAACTGTATCGAGCCATCTTAAACTAATTTCTATGTAATAATTGTATTTTGCTAACCTGTCAAATTTTTTTAAGTTAAATTTTTTTTAGCTAAATTAGTAAGGAAGTAGTGTAAATTATGTCCGTAATTTCTGGCTATTATCTCGTGAGGTACTAAGATTATGCAGGCCTAATATAAAACGTCCTGGATTTCTGTGGTCATTTTCCCAAACCCTTGCTACTCATGCATATAGCTGGGTTTCTGGACCGTGGAAGAGAGAATGCGGATAAGAGGTTAGTTCATATTCTTACTTGTGATTTCGTTTACTGATGTTGAAATGGAGAAGTAAGATGGAATACAGAAGACCAAAAACAGCAAAAACTCCGATGACAGACAATTGTAATATTGAGTATGTTGAAACTTTCCTTTCCTTCGTTGTCTCATCAACTGGCACTTTACCGTCTATAAGAAAGTTAAAGTAGCAAAATATGAAAGCGCAATTTTGGCTTGCAAATTAGTGTTAGATATACCATGAACATATTACTCTAAATCACAGTCTCTATACTGTATATAGCAAATATTCGGCAACGAACAAAAATGTTATGATTTCTCTCCAATTACTGTATACTGAGGAGTCTGAGGCAGGATCCTGAGGATGAACAATACCATAAGAGTCAAGGTTCAACAAGGAATCCCCGTTTACATAACACGGCGTCTACAGTGTCAGCGCGCATGTGTGGTTAGCCTTTTCCAATCTGAACTTCACAGAGGTTATATTTACAAAATACTAATTTCTTTATACATTCGTTTACCCTCTTCTTCCCCAGGGTCTTAATTAATGCCGCAAGTTATCATTAAATAATCATGATATTTAAAATTGGACTTTATCCAAATTGTTGTTATAGATAAATCAACAACATTGATCATTCTGTAAATAGCTGTCGACCACTTTTTGATAAAATGTGCATTACGCCTATAAGTGACAATTAATTTTCGTATGCCAGTCAAACGTTTCATGCTATCTGTAGATTAACTCTCTTTGGCGACACAATATGGCTCCGGTTAAATTGAAAAATAATCAAGATATTGCCTCTGATTGAGTCACATATTGTTTTAACATATGACTGTTGACTTTGCTCTTTAGTTTCCAATATTGGAAATGAAAATAAATTTAGTTGCTATGTTTTCCATTTTCCCAACCTTTCACTGATTAAAAATTTTGTTTACCCAACCCTTCTCCGTTCGGTGCAATCGCCCGACCCGCCATAAGAATGACCAGTATCTAATTTCCGTGGGTGGACCAGCTAGAAAAGGATTTGATCAATCGCTCACTCTCACGCGTCGATTATCGCCGTTAAAACTCCTTATGTGAACCAGGGATAATGTAAGATGCAGGATTGTGAAGCTTAGGAAATGTATTGACCTCTGTAAAGACTCTGACAGAGATTGGTTAAAAGTTTTACTTGATCCAGTACAATGGAGGTGGTACGTTAAGTAAAGAATAAAAAAATTACCGATGTTTAATTTCAAGAAACATGAATTTAGATAAACTCAGAGAACGACATCTGCGATCAAGATTCCGGATCACTTACCTTTCCATAACTTATTTAATTGGCTATCAAACAAAGTCATTTTAGATTCAGCCCTGCTGATAGAAGTGAATGTTCCAACTTTAATAATCTCCGCTGTAAAAGTATTTTGTCCAAAATGGTTGAAAGATTAGTTACAAGATTAAAGTTACAAGATTATTATATACATGGCAAAATTACTGCAATCTGATTGGTTAAGAGGGGTGCAATTAGTTCATTAATTCCGCTCTCCAGGAGTGCAATTAATGATTTTCTTGATGGCTGGGGGGAGCGGGATATCAAAACAACAAAAACCAATATAGCAGCGAAATTTGTCTTACAAACGTGGACGAATTTAACTAAATTTTGGCACCAGAATGAGTTTAAGAAACACAGTATGGCAAAAAGAGCGTGCGGAAAATACCTGGAAGTAGTTTTAAGAAATAATCTCGGGGGATGGAGCTAAACGTGGCTATGTAAGTCTGTAATGTAATTAATAAAGATTTTCTTACTCTATTGAGTTTGAATCCTGTATTCTAGTTTACGTTATGTGCCTTTATGAGTTTTTGATCATTTTCCAAAGTTTGCTGATGCCAAATTGCCTACCAAAGAGTTGAAAACTCTTGGCAAAATGCAGCTGAATTTAAAAAAAAGCGATTTTGTCATGCATATAATAAATAAATAATCACACGGGAAGGAGTGCAAATAATAATTAACACCTGCAAGTACAATCAGCATGCACGCATGTTTCCGCGTTCTATGCCTCATCAGTGCAGCTTGGTACACGTGTTGACACGCGACGACTTTCGTATTGACATACATGCGACTTGCCATCACAAGCGCATGTGGTACAGCACGGGCCATCAACGCATCCAGAAACCGTAGAGTGTCATCGGGCAAGAGTGCTCAAACAACCACAAGGCAGGGGCGGATTCAGCGTTTTGGGTGACCGGTTTACTAGGTCCACACAACCATTAGGGGGGTCCGGGGGCATGCTCCCCCGGGAAATTTGTAAAATTTGGGCCTCTGAAACAGCATTTCCTGTGTTCTGGCGTCACTTTTTAAATGAATTTAATGATTAGAAAATATATCTTTTAAGAGAATTTTGGACTAACACGCAGCTCAAACGATGAATTGGACCTTTTTGGAAACCTATTAGCTAGTGCTGAAAATATAGGATTGGCAACTGAATTGCTGACGCATCAATAGTTATTATAAGTACAAGTAGAGATGCTTTTAATATA